ATTAAAGAAAATGTATCTTGAAAGTGTGGGGATTGAGATCAAATTCTCAATATGTGAATAATACATTAACATTTAAGAATAGTGGAAATTCAAGAGATTTGGAAAATCCAAATTTTGATTTCTGATCGGTTAGATCATTAATAAAAGAAATCCCCGAGGATATGGATTTTCCCAACGACTATCCCCAATTGCGGTTTGATACCCAACCCTCGTCCTCTTTTTTAAGTCCGCAAGGAAGGGTCAATTCTATTGAGACGCGGCTCAGCTCTAAAGCCAATGTTGAACATCGGTCAATTGCATCTTCCCTCTTCTTTCAGGGGAAATCAAGGATATAAAAGAAAGGAGAGGGTCGATGTAATTGAGTTCGACCATAGGAAGAGGGTCATGTTTGCTTTTCATGAATGGGATGGAAGTTGTTATACTCGCCCCAAATTTATTCTCTTGGAGCAATTTTGATTCTCGATCGAAAGTCGGCACCCTCCAAATTGATGATCAGAGTTTTCCTAAGAGGTGTAGTGCAGTTTGCTCAACCACTTATCCCTGAGCTGCTTCGCCCGCAACCATTGCTGCCTCCCCTCCTAATCCTCAATTATCGAGTTAGGCTTTAATCCTCTCCTGTCAGTTGAGCAATTGAAACCTCGAACCTCTTATTGAAAATATTATTGAAAATATATGTCCTACTTCCTCCACTTTTTAGTGATAAGTAAGGGGCTATATAAGAAGCCAAGAAAGAACTACTTTCAAGCCTGACAAATACTCTTAGCTTTATACGAGCTCGCAAAAAGGAGAAGCAATGTAACTAGCTGAAAAATCATTCTCCTTAGTCTTCCTGGGAAAAGAGTTCTGAGCCCATATGAAATGAAAACATAATCTATTCATGATGTCCGCATAAAAAAAATAGACTAGATACCACGTAGTAGACATACTTAGAACATCCATAATGTTTTGAGTATAATTTTATTTGGAACATCCATATTCCACTATGGTTGGTTCTAAATTTGCCTACGTAAAGGTGACAATATAAATAGATCAAAGTATTGAATGACATGAATAAAATTAAATAAAAATAACTAATAAAATAAATTGAATAGTGGGCGAGTCTCTCTCTCTCTCTTTTTGCCACATTAGTAGGATTAAATCCACTTTTATTTACATAGGAGGATATTTTTTTTTAAGATTTGATCTATTTTCTATTTGGCATATAAATTTTTGTGAGTAGACCTAAAACATCTTGGATGTTGTACTAGCATATAAATAGATCTAAAGTTTGAATAACGTGGATAAAACTAAATAAAAGTAACTAAATTCATTATATTTAAAGAGATTGTTCCTGAGTCTACATTAAATTAAATTGTAAATCGATTCTATTTTTCTTCTTGTCACTTTAGTAGAAGTCTGTCCACTTTCACTTGTGACGAAGAACATTTTTTTATGAACTTGATCTATTTATGGCATGTAAATTGTTTTTTGAATGGAGCCACAAAGTATGGCGAATGTTTTCAAACGCATGTTTGATTTCATCATGGCCCAAAGAGAGAGACAACAAAGATGCAATTTATTTAATAAAAGCTAAAATAAATTGACTTTAAAAATCGAGAAATAAACGAAATTATTAGTTAGTTAATAAATCAATTTCCTCATTTTTTTGTTTTCCGAATTTCCAAACTCACCGAGTCACTGCACTGAATTGAAAGGGACCGCCGGCCACCGCACAACCGCCGTCGACCACCAGCTTCCCCGCTGCAGCACTTCCCAATGGCTGAATTCCTTGACCTGGAAACGCAGGACTCCGTCCGCATGCCGTGGAACGTCCTCCCCGGCACGAAAGTCGACGCCGCGAAATGCGCCATCCCGATCTCTGCCGTCTACACTCCCTTAAAACCCCTGCCGGCGTCCACGCCGCTCCTCCCCTATTCACCGCTCCGGTGCCGCAGCTGCCGATCCGTGATCAACCCGTTCTCGATCGTCGATTTCTCCTCGGTGAACAAGATATGGATCTGCAGCTTCTGCCTCCAGCGCAACCACTTCCCGCCGCACTACCAGTCCATCTCCGATCAAAATTTACCGGCGGAGCTCTTCCCGCAGTACACGACGATTGAGTACGAGACCACCGCCCCGAACGAGAAGCCGCCGGCTGGGAGCAGTAACGTGTTTTTGTTTGTTGTGGATACTTGCGTCATTGAGGAGGAATTGGGTTTTTTGAAGTCTGCGCTGTTGCAGGTTAGCTATNGCGTTTTTTGAAGCTGTTTATTTTATCTGATCATTGGTTTGAGTAAATAACATTTAATAGTTAGCTTTTGTTTCATTATTTCTTGTTTCCTTTTTCTTCTTCCACCTCTGATACCTTGAAGTGCTTGTTACTTACTAGTTGGAGCTATCAATAAAAAGGCGGAGTGATTGTTTGTTCGAATATCGAATTTTGGAAACATTTTCTGGAGGATTGTTGAATTCGAAATATTTGGACAACAAGTTGATCATCAACGTATCAATATTATTTAGGACCCTGTGCACAGTTTAGATTCACTTAATGGGCTATTATTTATCTGGAATGCAGGTGTTGGGAATGGTGCCCGAAAATTGTTTGGTTGGGTTGATTACTTTTGGGACATATGTGCATGTCCATGAACTGGGATTTGGGCAGATTCCAAAGGTTCACGTGTTCAAGGGGACAAAGGAGGTTAGCAAGGATCAGTTGTTGGAGCAGATGGGCTTCTTTTCAAAAAGGCCAAAGCCAACTACGGGTGTGATTGCAGGGGTGAGAGATGGACTATCACAGGAAAGCATTGCAAGGTTTTTGTTGCCTGCCTCCGACTGTGAGTTCGTTCTGAATTCGGTATGTTCCTGAAGTACAAAATGTTCTTCCTTTTTTTTGTTTTTTGTTTTTTTAAAATAACAGTTTAATTAGTTGATAAAACCTTAATCTCTTCATTTTTCTTTTGCTTTTCTCTCCTTGTTCACAAGATCTTAGAGGAGCTTCAAAAGGATCCATGGCCGGTTCCATCAGATCAACGGGCTGCTAGATGTACTGGGACTGCATTAAGTTTGGCTGCCCATTTGTTGGGAGTATGTGTTCCTGGTTCGGGAGCTAGAATCATGGCATTTTTGGGTGGGCCGTCAACAGAAGGGCCAGGAGCTGTAAGTTTTTAGTGTCCTGGTCTTGCATTAGTTCCAGAATGTGACTTTGCAATGATCTGCATTTGTCAAAGATCCTCAATTCAATGCTTATACTATGGATTTAACCAATGGGCCTATGTAATGAAAAAATCGGAATCTACAATACAAATGTGTATTTATTGTTTAATCTTTTGATGTTAAGTTTGTCCTGATGGAGAGAGTTAATATTTGTCACCAAATTCTAAGCATGGAATCATATGCAAAAATCTTACTCATAGAATGTTGTTATATGCTCGTTTAGCTGTTATGTCAGCTACAGATAAATGTTTGCCAGTGTTCCTCTCTGTTTTGACTTATTGGACCAGATATGTTGGTTGAATATAGTTAGAACAACTCATGATAAATATCAATAAGAACTTTTCTTATTGATTTTGATTTTTTTCTTCACTCTAACCGGGAAAGGTTGCCTTATCTGGTTACCTGCTGCCTTGGCATAGAACAATTGCTAAAATATATCTTGTACCTAAAAGCAACTAAACCCACAAATTTTCTGGGTGTCTATTCTGAAATTGGCTTTGACAGGGAGTGACTTATTATCTCACAGTTTTATCTTTGAAGTAGACAAATTTTGCTGAAATAATATCATTTTCATTTGCAGATAGTTTCTAAAAATCTGTCTGAGCCTATTCGTTCTCACAAAGACTTGGACAAAGATTCTGCTCCGCACTACCACAAAGCAGTGAAGTTTTATGAAGGACTTTCTAAACAACTAGTTCATCAGGGCCATGTGCTAGATGTTTTCGCTTGTTCCCTTGATCAGGTATTCATTACCATTAGATTAACAGTTGGGTCTTTTTCTTTTTAGACCTACAAATCTCTTGTATAGTCATTTATGTGGAAATCGGTAGCCTGCATTTGTTTTTAAAACTTGTCTTTATCAGGCAAAGTGGCTGAGTTTACAGTATATCTTATAAAGTTATTAATGTGGAAAGTAGTAACATGCATTCCCTTTTAATACACGTGTTTGCTAGGTAGGAGTTGCTGAGCTTAAAGTAGCAGTTGAGAAAACTGGAGGACTTGTTGTTCTTGCTGAAAGTTTTGGCCATTCAGTTTTTAAGGAGTCGCTAAGATGTGTTTTTCAATCTGGCGATCATGATCTGGGATTGTCATCAAAGTAAGATTTAGATAGGCCTTTTACTCCTTTTGTAGTGCAATTTTCTGGGAGGATCTACTGAACCTTTTTATGTACTGAATTGGTACTGGATCATGTTTGTTTTCTGCTTCTCCAAGCTTCAGAGATGCTTTGAATTTTCATGCTACTGTGTCTGTTGCTGCAAACAATTTTGCTGACGAGTTTCAAATTATAACTCTTGAGGTCTTTCGTTTATTTGATGGAGACCTACTTTGTCATTTACTTTGTGCAGTGGTATATTTGAGATAAACTGCTCAAAGGATATCAAAATTCAAGGAATTATTGGACCCTGTGCATCACTTGATAAGGTGTGATATCGTTATGTTGTGAACGATCCTATCCAATTTCCTCAAGTTGACTTATAAGTTTTAGCTTCATGCAGAAAGGTCCTTCCTGCTCTGAAACTGTCATTGGACAAGGAAATACTACTGCGTGGAAGTTGTGTGGCCTTGACAAGACTACTTCCTTGTGTATTATATTTGATGCTACCAAGAAAGAGAGCCCAGATTTTATTACTCCGGCAGCCAACAACCAGTTTTATTTCCAGTTTCTGACATAGTATGCATTAATTAAAATGAAATATGAATTACTAATACTTATCAGCAATCTGCTAGCTTGTCCTTAATACTTTCAGTGATATGCATCTCCAGTTATCAGCATGGCAGTGGACAAATGAGACTTCGTGCCACTACTCTTTCTAGAAGATGGGTTGCTGGACCTGGAACTAAAGAGGTAGCATCTTTGCCGTTTGTTTTCCAAATATTTCAACTTGCTCGTGATAAAATAGACTATAATGCCTAAGCATAGGATTAAATGCAAAAATCAACGTTCAACAATAATTTCATCACTTTCATACAAGAACAAAGATCCGTATGTACACAATTTTTCTGAATAGTAGTGGTAACATGTATTAGATAATTATGCATTCATATATAAATTATATAACCAAAGATGTTAGTCTTTAAATAAGTACATGTAATATTATTTATCATAATAAGTTGCAATAAATGTTATATTTGCTAAATTACATTAACAAAGTGTAGATATGTTCGCATATATTCTTTATATGTCAGGTCATATGACACTATTCAATCATAATTACTGATGAATCCAACTTAAGGGGAAAAATAGAGAATTACAATTCTAAAAACACTGTTAAAAAATGTTCCAGAATTTTGTTTAGTTTTATTTTATAAGGAGATATATCGTGAAATCCTCGTCGGGTATTTTTTTTTNAGAATACCTAATTGTTGCGCTTGTGTTGTGTTCTACAGGATCTTATATCAGGATTTGACCAAGAAGCAGCAGCAGTGGTAATGGCACGCCAGGTTTCTACCAAAATGGAAACTGAGGTGACATACTGGACTATTTTTTCATACATCTTTATGTAGTGTTCTGTTTTAAAGTTGATCTGCTGAATATTGTTTTGACTTGTGCCATTTAATTGACTGATGAGCTGCCAATATCAGTTAAAAGTTATAGTAACTGATAATAATTCTGATTTTCTGTGGAGATGTCTGTAATAGTTTCTACTTGCATACTTGAGTACAGTAGCGTAATTCTTGGTTCTTATAGATTCGTCCTTATAATATTCTTCAGGCTGAATTTGACCCTATAAGATGGCTGGATAAATCATTGATACACATATGTTCTCAATTTGGGGAGTACCAGAAGGATAGTTCATCTTCTTTTAGTTTGTCTTCGAGACTATCGATATTTCCTCAGTTCATGTTTCATTTAAGGCGTTCACAATTCGTTCAGGTATGTAATTATTGTTTATTATGGATGTTAATTTTCCTTAAGTATGCTGGAAAAAAAAATATCTCATATAGAAATGTACATAAGTTAGCTCAGTGGAAATTCCAAGGCAAAACTAAACTTGTTTCTTGCTCATCCTTGTGTACCTTTTTTTTTATATCTTTAATCTAAATATTTCCTTAATCTTTTTATTCAGGTCTTCAATAACAGTCCGGATGAGACAGCATACTTTAGAATGATACTGAACAGAGAAAATGTTTCTAACTCTGTCGTTATGATTCAACCGTCTTTGATTTCCTACTCTTTCCATTCCGCACCAGAACCTGCTCTTCTTGATGTGATTTCCATTGCTGCTGATAGAATACTTCTCTTGGATTCGTATTTCACTATTGTTGTATTTCATGGATCCACTATTGCACAATGGCGAAAAGCTGGATATCATGAACTGCCCGAACATCAGGTAATGCTGTTTGCTAAATGCCAACTGTTTTATTTTATCTACATGTAAGCATATGAGATTGAACATTTCTTTCTGTATTAAATAAATTATTCTCTTCATCTCATTTTTGTATAAGAAGCCGTAACACACTAATGACATTTAGAGGATTACCATAGGAAGATATTTATATCAAATTCCCACCTCTTTCTACTTATTTAATTAAGAGTGTCACATTATAGAATTGAAGGGTGCTGACTATTACGGTAACCGTTCTAATTGAAGTCATCCTTGCTATGTGTCTCAATTGAGTTTGCTAGTATATAGCATATTTGATGGCTTCAATCTTTCTTCATTTTTTTTTTTTTACCATTTGCTGTTATTGTAGGCATTTGCAAACTTGCTACAAGCTCCACGTGATGATGCAAATGCAATAATGAGAGACAGATTTCCAGTACCTCGCCTTGTAATCTGCGATCAACACGGTTCTCAGGTCTTTTAATCTATTTCCTTAAAACCCGCTTTTTTATTAACATTTGGGTTATTTTTGGTAACCAACTATGTTATAGCTTATTTGGTTAGCTTATAAGCTTCCTGTATTCATATAAGCTTCGTTTGGTAGAACAAACTTTTTTAAAAAAAGTTAGAGCTTATCTCATAAGCTTCTTTGGGTAACTTTTCAAATAAGCTCGTTGAAATTTTGATTTCAGCTAGCTTATCAGCTAATTTTACACACTTTTATCATATAAGCTAGTTTTTCAGCTATAAGTCATAAGTTGTAAGCTATAAGCTCGAAAATCACTTATCAGCTAGTTTTATCAAATATAACCTTGGTATATTGTGGGATGTTCACTTGGGTCAAAGAACCAAAGAGAATTATACCACTTGCTGCAATGGCTAATTGTTGCTTAATTCTGTATGAGAATTATAATTTTGGTTTTAATTAATTTTCTAATGTTCTTGATGCTATATATATATATCAATAGAAAATTGTATGGCATGCCAGTAACAAGTCGTGCTGCAATGTGCAGGCCCGTTTTCTGCTAGCAAAATTGAATCCTTCAGCTACTTACAATTCCGATACTCCAGCTGTCCCGGGAGGCGACATAATATTCACTGATGATGTCAGCTTTGAGGTCTTCTTAGATCATCTTCAGCGTTTGGCAGTTCAATAGAATCTCTCTTTACGAACATTTGCTGAGGTTAGATAGCATAATCCATTTTGTAACTCGCATTCTCTGGAGTGTACAGTTATTTATATGAACATCTGCATCTCAGTCAGTTTATTTGTGATGGGCCTGTAAGTTTTCTTGTGATCCTAATAAGGTATGATATGAACACATGGTTTTTTTTTGCTATGTGGATCACTTTATTTTTCGTCTCAAATCTTCCTCAAGAGGAGAAACAGCCTCTGATCAACTTTAAACTTGTGCATCTTACCCTTTAGCATCAGTTGGAGTCCCCCAAACGAGACATACACCACCCTGTCCCAAACCATAATAATCGAATAATAACAGATAAGATTCAAATTCGTCAAGTAAAAAGAAGAAGAAATTTTAGGCACAAAATAAGGATATAAGTTTATTCCATTTCAGATGAGACCTTCATGATCAAAATACGTAACATAACGGAAAAAGGCTAATGTAAGATTAAGAGGCGGTTTAACTGAGGTCATCCAAANTCCTCTGGCGATCAATAGTGCAAGCAAATCTCATGAGCAAAAAGAGACACATATGCATACACTTTAACTTCGTCATCTCCATCAGTCTTTTCTTCCAATGGGAAACAAAAGTTCGTAAATGCAATTCACGCATAACCAAATTTTAACACCAACCAATTTGAGGAGATTATCTAAATAAGCTCAAGAAAATGGAATAGCACCTCAGGAAAGTAAGCACACACAGTCGAACGATCCGCATTCAGAGTCGACGAAATCAACATCCGGAATTTCTCCCCCTTAAGCATAGGGTACAACTCAGTATGCACATCTAATTCAAGATAACAATCACTGTCTTCACTCGTTGCAACCACTCGAGAAACTGGAACATTAACACAAAACCATCCCAAATGTTTGAACTCTTTTACTTAAAATCACTCTTTTGAAGATAATTATTAACAGAATTTGAAAAAAAAAAAACAAAAAATACCCTTTTTATCTTACCTTTGTCGTACACCACTTGGGAATCGAACTTGATAACCTTGATTATCTCATCGAAATGAAACTCTGCCATTTTCTAACAAAACTAAAAGTAAAAAAAAAAAATTGTAAAAGAATGTGTAAAAGAAGATGAAGAAGAAAAAGGAAACAAGCAATGCAATGGCATTACGAATTAACTTGATAAATTGATTAGACTAGACATATGACTATGAGTACAAAATGAAGCAGAACGGCAGAAGATTGAATTTTTTTGCTTACAGTGAAAAAGGGTTGCAGGTTGATAATGGAGCCTGTGCTGTAGCCTGCAGGGGAGAAGGGGTTTATGGTTTATTTTTATTTTTATTTTTTAATTTCTTAGATTTTGGGAGGATCAGAAAAAATGTTCGAGTATGGGCTGGGCTGGGCTGGGCTGGGCTTGACTGGAATTTTTTCGAAAGAGGGCCAATATAAAGGGAAATTTTATAGTTACCACATGATTTTAAATTAATTACATTTGTGCGAGAGGTCAGATTTTATTTGCATCCTACCAAATGAATTGCATTTATTTGTGAAAGAAGAAAATATCAGTTACCAAATAATTGATACTAACCATCCCTTAATTTGCACTGAAAAAAAAATATGGTAAGTTTGTATACCCTACTTAGAGCATCTCCAATGCTTAAATATAGTTGTAATAAATTACACTATGCATTAACATATTTAGCGATTTATTCACTTTTAATCCTCCAATGCACCATGTTATCACAAATGTAGTGATGAGGTGGATATGATGAGGTGGATATAATAATGTCTATAATGTAGAAATGAATGTGGTTCATCCACATTCCCATTCACATTCTAGCCCACTAATGGAGAGAGACGAGAGAAATATTATTACCATTTTTAAAATATCTAATCATTTAATTCCTTTTTTTTTTTTCATATTTATAAATTTTTTATTTGGGCCAAGTGGATAATATTGTGTTTGAATATATTGTGCATTGGAGATAATTGTTTAGAACTAAAGTTGTGAACCTAACAATTATATTATGTAGTTCACAATCCATCTAATTGATTGACATTTGTCAAAATTTATGTAATAACAACATTTATACATTGGATATGCTCTTATTAGGATGTTATTCATATCTAAATGAAAGAATTAGAATTTGAAATTCACACGTACTCATTCTTTCTAAATACCCAGAATATACAATATTTGAGAATTGATATATATTCAAACGTACTTATTCTTTTGAGAGTTGATATATATTCAAACGTACTTATTTTTTTTGAATAGGCAGTATATATTTCGTTTATAGTTAGTATATATTTAGTATATAACTTTTTTTTTATTTACATAACATTTTTATCTAATCACAATTGTGATATTTGAATTTTTGTTCAGTATATAACCTATCATATACATATCATAAAATAATCATAATCATTATTTTAATAAATTATTTTAATATATGTAGAGTGTATGATAAACAAATGAAGCACGGGCTAGATGATAAACACACGAAGCACGAGCAACAAAAACATATACTGTCTATATACACGCAACATATACTGTCAATTGTGCTTAGGAAAACATATACTGAAAAATATATTGTTTATAAAAACAACATATCCCACAACATAATAAATCAAAACGAAAAAAAATTCTCAAAAAAACTGAAACATCATCAGCTGATACATATATTGAATATAAACCAAAATAAACCAAAAACAATGAATATTTCTGTTCGAATATCACTTGTGAGTTGTCCTACATCGTTCATATATAGACCCACCTTATAAGACTAATGGGCTACTCCTCCTTCCACCAATTGGTTTTGGGATGGAACCCCATTTGGGCTTCATATGAGTTTTTCCCTTCTTTCATGGTGTCTTTCATGGTAGTGGGCCAGCACCAATTTTCCCTCCAATTTCTGTCATTTCTTTTCGCAAAAAAGCCCTTCTCAAGGAACAATTCCCAGATCTGAGGCGGTGCGAATTTCTCATATAAATATTGAGAATGATCCATCTTAACTGGGCCTAGAGAATGACAATTAAATTTAAGCTCGTGAATAAACCCTCTGACTCACAACTGCGCCACACACGTCAATGTATTTTTTATTTTTTTATATATATTATGTGGCAACACTAAAAAATGCACTATTCATCTCTTTCATTTTTTTAAATATAATTTTATATTAAATTCAGTTAGTACTACATATTTTCTATAAAATTAACCATTAACCAAATCACTTATAATGATTATCATTATTTTTTAATAGTTAAACATTACTATTTGCTTCACACCATGTTACATTATCAAACCTGTTAAATATTTTACCGACTCATCAATATTTAATAATCAGTTCATCAATAATCAATCAACGAGACACAATAATTGTCTAGAATTGTTAAACGGTACGAGACATTCGGGAGCTGAGCAATTAGCCAAGCTAGCTAGAGTTTGTTAAAAAGATGGTTTTGTTAACGCGGGTTCGACTCATTAAGACTTAAAATGTAAAAAAATTATATGATTTTTTAGTGTTAATATTAATTTTAAATTCCATATTTTTTATCCTATGGAATACAAAATAAAAAAACCATACTATTCTGGACGACTCAACAAAATGACAGACGCAACACGGAGCTAATTATCAAATTCAAACCCAATTGCAAGCAAAATCCAAAATCGCACAAATTTGGGGGAAAATCAACCGACGCCGATAGAGAGAGAGGTCCACCGGAAAAAAAAAGGCCAGGAGGCCGCGAAACGCGAAACCCAATCGATTCGATTAATGGATGATAACGAAAGGCGCAGAGACGTTATCATCCCGACGACCTACGCTCTGCTGTGCCTCTGCGTGACCGCCGGCGGCGTCCTCCTCGCGCTCCACGTCTTCTTCCCCGCCTTATCCCAGCCGTGGCACCTGATCGCCGCCCTCATCCTCATCGGCTCGCCGTGGCTCGTCTGGCTCCTGGCCTACGTCTACGCCTGCGCCAAGGCATGCTTCTCACGCGCCGCCGCCGGGGGAGACCGCCAGATCCCGTCGAGGCAGGCCACGAGGAGCGCCTCCACGTCCTCCGCCGCCACCGAACGAAAGGACGGCGGAGGCGTCGGAAAGCAGGAGTCCGTCGCCTCGTCCAATGGCTCCGAGATCCCTCTGGCGCGTGCGGTTTGATTGAAAAAATGATTAGGGGTAAATTAGTCATTCAATTATTCGTATATGTTTCTAATTATCTGATAATTTTAATTAAAATTTTGATGTTGACTTTTTTGGAAATTGGAAAAGGTGGGCCGATTTTTGGGAAAAAATATTATATACGGTAATGTTTGCATTTCCGATTGTGATGTAGATTTCACATTGAGAATTTTGACGAGCCATCTTAATAATGTCACATTATTGCATGCATGGGATGGGACGGGCTCTACCAGTATATTTTTTAATAAAATTATTTATTTATTATTTCTTAAGATATGATATTTTCATTTGTAAGTATAGATGAAAAGTGATACGAGGTCCTGTTTGCATGTCCGATTGTGATATATATATATATACAGATTCCATAATGAGAAATTTGACAAGCCATTTCAAGAATATATAGATGATCACAATTTTTTTTAATGGATGGTCTGGCCGTCAGACAAGTCGAATAGATATACATTTTATTAAAAAAATATACATTTTTATACTATGAAATATTATATTTTTGTTCATCTTGTTTTTAGTTTTTAATTAGTATAAGTATTCGTTGAAAAATTGTAATTGTGCAATAGTTGGATCTGTCAAACAGCAACATCAATAAATGATTTTATTGATTGTACCACACACAATTAGTGTTTATGGGATCCATGGAGTAATGGTTTATGTGCTAATTATGCTGACTATTTGATTAGTGTGTTAGTCAAGTGCTGTTGGATGAAGATAAGACAATGTGTAATTAATTAATTTCTGGTTTAGTCATATTTCTTTCATCAAATTGAGTTATAGCACTCTATTAGAGTTTCTCCAGCCCTGAGTCATAATGTTACTTTACTCCAGAGTAATGCGAAAAACTTGTTCCAGTGTTGCGCTATATTTTTGCATTATTGTGAAGATATGAACAGTATTGTGCTACATGTAGCGCGGTACAAATTCATTTCCTTCAAATTTTAGTTTTAATAGAGGTTTATTTATAAATATTACTCCCTCCTTTTTTTGTCGTTTTGAGAAGTTGTACGGTAATTAAGAATATTTTTTTTGCCAATAATAACCCTCATTAATGAGGATAGAGATGGATGTTTTGAGAAAAGATGAAGAGTGAATATGAAAACACAAGGGTAATAATGAAAAAATATGTACAAAAGATCCAAAACGTAATTTATTTTGTTAATTGTTGATAAAGCCAAAATGACATTTATAAAAAAAAAGAGGTAGTATTTTAAAAAAAATATACATCAATAATATTATTTATTTTGTTAAATAATTTTAAATTCTGATTTAATAGTTGTATTTAAATTTTACTTTGTACTAATATATTTCATGTAGAGTAAAATGTAGCGTGAACAACTAGAGACAGAAGTTAAATTTTGGCATTCTCAATTTTAGTGTAGAGTTTAGAGTACAGTAGAAGATCGAGAGCTTCTTCAGCTATGCGCCACATTTTTACACTACTCCAGAGTAGTGCGAAAAACTTGCTCCAATGCGGTGCTATATTTTTGCATTACTATGAAGATATGAACATTATTGCGCTACACGTAGCACAATACTATTCACCGCGCTACAATTTTTTTCTTCAAATTTTAGTTTTTTAATCGATTTTTATTTCTAAATATTATTTCAATAAAATATTCATCAATTAAATTATTTGTTTTGTTAAATAATTTTAAATTTTGATTTTATAGTTGTATTTAATTATTTTTCTACTGATATATGTAATGTATAATAAAATGTAGCGCGAACAACTAGAGATGAAAGTTAAATTTTGGCATGTTCTACGCTAAAGTAGAGTTAACTCTACACTAGAGTAGAGGCATCGGAGATGGTGTGAAGATGCTCTTATTGATTTAAGATATATTGATAGAAAATCTGATAATATGCTCATATTTTGGAGTGATTTGGTGAAGTCACTCTAGTTTTTGGGTTCATGTATGAACAGTTGCAAATCCAATAATGGTTTGGCAAATGGCAACTGTAGTAGACCGCTCGGTTTCTACTTTTGGTTAATGTTGTAATAATGCTGCTCGTTCGCGGCGGATTGTAGCCTAACGTTTGCAATTATTCAAGCAATAACCCACCCTCACTTTTAGCACACGCCATTCTATAATTCACATTTTACAACATACTCCATCATAAGAATGAGATTTCCTGCTCTATTTTCCTGTTACATTTCATATTCCTCTCCGTCAGATGACTGACACGTGTAAATGATGATGTGATATTTATACACGTCAATCATCTAACGAGATGAAACACAAAATGATACATGAAATCTAAACTCCAATCAAACCCTTTAAAGGNGAAAAAACCCAATCCAACAAATGGGACACAAAATCACTTCTTTTAACCACACAAAGCCCATCATCTTCACCTTCACTGCCCATAGCTAGCCACAAACACCCCACCATCATGCATGCCTTCAAAGATCCCTTCAAAACCAATCTTGGCGGGCCCTATTGGGCCCACCACCTGGCCCGATTTAGTTAGACAACGACTTAGATACCGAATTATGCCATGGCTCGGCGACTTGGCACATGATTCAGGGATGCTAACAATAAATTTGGATAGCTCATAACTCAAGCCAGTGCACTTGGCCATTCGAAAAGGTTTTTAACAGATTAGAACAGAATTTTGATCGTTTTTATCAGTATAGTAACAATAGGCAACAAAAAATGACTTGGTAGTTACCAAAAGAATGAAATTTTGCATTGAAAACGAGCCGCACTTAGTTAGAACTGAAGATCAAGGTTTTTTTAAATCTCAGTGCTGGCATGTAGTTACAGAGATGCTGCCTCTCCCTTTTCACGAGCAATAGATGCAGAAAGAATTCCCAAATCTCGATTCAGAAATGTTAATGCAGTTTCACACTCGGAAATTATTCTCATGACTGAAGATGGTTCGCCAGCTACTGTTTCAGAAGATCCAACTGCTACTGCTGCATGTGAATCCCGAAGGTTCTTCAAGTTCCCTAGAAACTGCAACGCAGAGTAATAGGGAAATCCTTTGACATCATTCATCAAAGTTCGAACTCGCCAAAAGGTTGCAAGATTATTTTTTTGAAGTATATTTTCATTTTCATTGTTGGGAAATGTCTACAGAATTTTTTCGATTTTCGACTTTCAAGCGAGGATGCAAATATTAGGCCACATAATTCAAAGAAAAAATTTTCTAGCACAAAAGTAGCCTCAATTTAAAAAAAAAAAACAAAAAACAAAAACAAAAAACAATGAACAATAATTCGCTAAAGGAAGTGATCACAATTAGATACCTTCAAAAGCATTTTATATGCCTCCAACAATCTATTTGCAGCTGGTCCAAAACCGTGAAGTTGTGGAACCTCCATCATATGAGTCCAAGGGCGAATTTCCTAAAAACGGCAAATACTCAGAAATTACATTTACAAATATTATTTACCATGGGTAAAAAAAACCATATAAAAAATTGAGGCTCTGTCCGATGAATAATGACAATAATTATATCCAAAATAAACTCATGGACTAATGTTTCTAAACAAGCACTTTTGGCATTCAGTTGTAACAAGAGATAATGCCTAATATAATATAGCGGTATAAATTTCACAGAATACTGGATATATTTGCAAATAGTTTTACAACATTTATTGTGTTCATTTTCTTGAGACATACCACTTAATGTGTATCTTAATTTTTTGAACCAATTATTATTTCACATCTTTTATATAAAGAAAAAAAAAAAGGTATTTTCATGCACAAAATTCCATACATATATCTGATGCTTTCCTAATACACGTAGGATCATAACTAATTCAGATTTGTTCTCATAGTTTCATGAAAAATCCAACAAATGTTTACAACCCCACGATCAGGAGATGATTAAAATCAAACCAAACCTTGGTGTAGATTGTATTGAAAGATCTTGCAGTTTCAAGAAAAGATTCGAGATGTGCTCGCAGGCGTGCTTCGACTTCCACGTAATCTTCATCTGGATTATATGGATGCTACAGAAGGTACCAAAACCATTAATGGGCAATTGATCATAAAACATCAATCAAAACAAGATAAAGCTGATACCGGTCCATAACCAATCGAGATTTACATTTTACAAGAAGTTGACTTATAAAAAGCTCGACAAAAACCTTGGATGCTAGATCATCAACCATCTCTTGAAGATTCTGAAGCCTGTTTGACTGATCTGAGAGTTGCTTTTCCAAATCAGATATATCTGGCCTACAAGTAAACTTTGATTAAGGGAACAGAAGGTCACCATATATGCTGCAAAGTTTAACTAGCATGGTAAAATGTGATCAACACAAGATATAGAATCTACATGAAAACAGAAAAAACAACCAACTCAGTGCAAAAGGCAACAGCATGATAAAGTAGCCAAATAAG